GAATCTCAGGATAATGTAAAGAAATAAATCACTAAATTGTACAGACTAAAAAGCAAGAGTATGGAAAAAGAGTTTGAAGAAAAGAGAAAGAGATAGAGAAGAGACTACTCCAGCAAAACTTTTCCCAGACAACCTGGGAACACTTTTGGAACATGGTCAGTATGATTGATTTATAAGCAGACATGGTTATATACCCTCACAAGAGAATTTTTCTGAAACCAGAGACTCCGCTTATCATATCACTCGAGTCCCAAGAAACTGTACCATTCTCTGTTTCACACTTCTCTCCAAGCTTTTTCCTCCACCTAACTACTACAAAGAACTGATAAGTAAAAACCCTTATCAGCCACTTTCCCGTATGCAGTTCCCCGGTAACAAGTATTTGTAACTCTCAGCTTTTTCGATCAGATGAGATGGGAGATGAACAGCGGAATAAGACCGAGGGATTGGACCTAGTTTCCCGATGATTTCCCTGAATGTATACTCTTCAGGGAGCATATCGAACAGATCAGTTCCTCTACATATCACATCTTGGATTCTTTTCGGGTTTAGGTAATGAGAGAATCTGACACGGTCGTTGTGGCTGTACGCTTTCATCTTGAATATGAACTCGCTGATGTGCCTGAAACAGAAACTGCAATGCCAACCCGAATCCGCTAAAAGAATGTTGCCTTGACGGAAATGAGCGTATCGGGTTTTCCCAGGCTTGTATTGATGAATTGAAGCCCTCCAGCTTTTGTTATCCACGAAATACTCGAACGAGTATAAGTAGTTTTTCAACTGAAGGTGAAGAATCGGTGGGTACCCGTCGCACCATCTTAGCAGATTGATGGTATGAGCACTCGGAATCTCGTCAACATCAGACATTATCAACAGATCGTCTTCTTCAATACCCGCAAGTCTGATCAGCTGATCCAATGCAATCCTCTGGTACGCTTCTTCAACAAACGGGTTTTCCCCTTTCTTGAATCTTCCTCCGATGTTCCCATAAGTCAGCCTAGGCTCAACAAACTTGAACTTTCCTCGGTTTCCAGCAAAAACCAACGGTTTAGGCAAACCAGTGAAAGTCGAGTTTGATTCAAGAACCACAAACTGAGTAATGTAAGGATACAGCTCTTTCCACCGGATAGTGAGCATATCGACTTCATTACTGAACAACACAGCATCAAAGACCCTTCTTGGAGATTCACGGTGCTTCCAGCCATGAAGACTGCAGAGCGTCTCCATGGAGGCGTTCTCGTGGTAGTAATGAGGAAGCGTTTGAAACGGCTTGGGTGGCGATTCCCAAAGCGGTCTCAAGAAATACGTGAGCTTCTGACCGTGCAAGTAAACTCCGAAGATGAATATCGGTACAATGGTGAAGCAGAAGATATATGTCTTGAAATCGAGTCCCCGTAGCACACATCTAACCCTTGAGAATGCCTTTGCTGCTCTAGAACCATCCTGCAAACAACAACCAATCCCCAAAAAAAAACTCAGAAACTTCAACAATTATGTCAAAGATCACAAATTTGATTCCAATTCGAGATAACAACAATACAATTCTTCTAACGCTACAGAGAATCAAACCCTAAAACAAATTATGTCAAATTTCTTCCACAATCCCAAAATGTCAAATTATCAATAAAACAAAACCTAAATTGTTCATGAAATTTGGGAGATAAAGAGACATTCGCATCGAATGCTCCATACAATTTCAGACAAAAACAAAACAATCGAGTAATCATCCAATCGTCTTCTCAATTATTAAGAACCACAAAAGTCAAAAAAACCTAAGAGACATAACACACAATCAAAATCGGAGAAATCAAAAACCACATTACTACCAATTCTCATCCAATTTCAAAGGGTATAAAAAAAAATCTCGATTTGATTAATGCAAAACACGACGACGAACAAAAACCCAAATCCGATTCATCACGAAATTGATAAGAAAATCAGACCAAAGTTACAGAAATCAAAACTCACCTGTCCACAAACATCTTCGCAGATATCGTCCGTCTTCTTAGAAGGATAGTATCCATCGGACATGATTTAACCCAGAAGAAGAAGAAGAAAGGAGTTTTTCTCGAGAAAATTTTGGAGGAAGAAGAAGAATATCGGACCCCGGAAATCGAAGCCCGACCAAAAATCAAAAATTTATCAGAAACTCTCCAAACAAATAAATTTTAAACCAAAGAATAATTAAGAAGAAAAAACAGAGAAGTCTCTGAGGATAAATATATCCGAAAAAATCTCTCTTATAATCTTAATCTTAATCCTTCTCCTCTTTGGAAAACTGTAACGCCAATTATAGCCGTTTGATGCTTTTTGGTTTATATATATTCCCAAAACTGCTGGAATTAATCAATTAAATTATATAATTAAAGGGAACTTTTTTTTAATTAGATTTAAATAATAAAAAAATTACTACTACTAGGAAAATATTTATTTAAAGGACAAGAGGAAAAATTATAGAGATATCCCTCTGACCTGTAAAAAAACATTTGTTACCATTCCGATCTATCAATGAAGCTTTGTCAACATATAATTCGATTTTTTTTCTTTTTAATAAATTGTTGAAAATCAAAAAAAAAAATTAGCCATTTAAGTAAGGGATTTTTTAAAAATACCCTATTTATGTTTGAGAATTTGAATAATACATTCTTTTATTTTTTTTTGAAAACTAACTCTTTTACTATTTGAAAAGAC